TGTAAAAATAAATAAATGAATGAATGAAAAAAAAAGGGAAAAAAATGAATTGACAAAAATAACCCTAAACCTTTAAAAATCAGTTTGCGAGGCTTAAACGAACTCAAATGGCCGAAATTCAACGTACATCATAGCGATCCGGAATTAAGATGATTTATTTCTACTAGTACTCTTTTTCCAATAGGCTCCTTATGTCCTACATCACCAATGTACTACAAAATATGTAGTATAAACAAAAAGTGCAATATATACACTCAATCCCATAATTAAGACATCTAGAAGCTTAAATTAGTGTGCCAAACATGCCACATTTCCCCCCAATAATCCCCATTCCCAATCTACCGTTTCACCATTTCATCATTCAACCAAAAAATTCAAGAATCGAAAGCCAAAAATCTTCAATAAACTACAAGAAACATACAAATCGTATCTCAATCTTTTGTTTTCTCTTTATTTTTTGTTCTGAAAATTTTATAAGGAACTACAATATTCTCAGCATTCTGGGGTTTCTTATTTGTTGTACAAACCTTAATAGAGAACGATGAACACATCGTTCACACACCCTCTAGATGGAGACTCAAAGGATAGGTCGATCGACCTACTGATGTTCGAGGCTCACACAACACTGCAGTTGATTTTAAGAAGTCTGATATGAAGGAAAGTTCATGAGGTAGATGAAGCCTAAAGCTGTCAAGAAGAAGAAAATTGTTCAACTACATAAATCTAAGGCAAGTTAACTTTTATCTATCAAAAATCACTTCTTGAAAAATATATATATGTTTAACTACAAAATAAAATTAAATATTTAATCTTAAGGCTTGTCACTGTTTATCGTTTTATTAATGGCAGTATCCCCATATTAACATATTCATTTAGATGTTTACATATCAACAGTCCACGTAAGTTGTCTTTCCTGTCATGTAATCAAGATAAAGTCAGTTCAAGCATTCACAACGGACAATTATATGTAATGTTCACGCATGCCACAGTTGATGAAATTGTCACATGAAATGTAATCACTTACACGTACCGTGCACACATCACAATAATCTGAATAAACATGATTAATTTTATCTATGTCAATCCATGAATGTTAGTATGAACCTGTCTCGTTTGCAACTAGTATGAAGGAGAATATATTATATGGCAAAGAAGACGCTACTGGTGAAGAGATTAGAAATGCAATAGAACTTGCTAATTATGCTGCGAAATTCATTGATAAACTTCCTCAAGTGAATTATTCTTCATTTTATCTAATTCTTTCAGGTTTTCTTTTTGTATATGATTATTGATAAATTTTAATATCTTTGTTGCAAGGACTTGATACAATGGTGGGTGAACATGGAACTACACTATCTGGTGGTCAGAAGCAAAGACTTGAAATTGCTAGAGCTATTCTAAAAAATCCAAAAATCCTTCTTTTTAATCTTGACGATGCCACAGCTGATGAAAATTGTCCATTTTCTTGCTATTTGGCCTGTAAAAGTTGATTCGCATTTCACATGATATCATTAACTTAACTGTGATCATACAGAACTTCGTAACGAACTGCATCAGGAATACACGCCAAGGGATCTTGTTGCAAGGAGCATTAGGAAGAACAAGTATTTTAAGTGCACTACATCAGTCGTCATGAGCGTTGGAGTGAAAAATATCATCCATGCAAAATTTATTCATTGTAAAGATCACCACTACCAGCTATCGTCTGCATTTCAAGTGATACAATGCACAGGATCCCAAACTTTTTACAGCTCCCTATTGCATCAGTTTATGAAAACAGAAAATTGTTGTACTACCCCCACAATGCAAATGTTTAGATGTATACCATTGTCCTACAACCACATGAAAACTAGAAAATATGCAGATGACCACAAAGAGATCAAATGTCAACTTAATAACAAGGATATTTATACTGACATTTTGATACAAATCTCGTAGTTGGTGATGAACATATGATTACAAATCACATTGATCACAAAATCATATGAATCATGATTCAAAATTGATAAAAATATCTCAATAAAAAATGTACCATTCACCATGACACACTACAATACATATTACTATTCGATATATTTAAATAATGACATAAAAACTAATGATTGTTTGTAGTCATTAAATATGTCGTTCTTCTACTCTTTCATACGTGACTCAACATCAGACGCTGGTTATAAGTTCTCCTATTGTATCCCTTTCCCCCGCTCCTTCTACACATTGTCGGGTTCAATGTCTCCAACTTTGTTCGTCCCCTCGTCTTCCTTGGCCTTCCCGCCCGCCTCTTAGATTCAGGTGGAAAAAATATCATCTTGACAATGATCATTATTGAATTTCCACTGTGAAAGGTCTTCAAGTGGAACTATGCACCCAACGTAAGTATCAATAGACACTTTAATGTGTTATCTGAAGCAATATTTATATGGTTACTATCCTTTCTCGCCGATTACAGCAAACACGTGTGGACACGAAACTCCATCAAATTGAAACCTGTTGCATGTGTATTTCATTACCAGCAAGTCAACAATATACCATGTGTTCTCGTCCGACACTTGTACAGGAAATCGTTTGAAGATGAGACCTATGAAAAATGCAATTCAATTTTTAGCAACAATACGATGACAAAGATAATGTTTCTCCTTGTGAAATGTACAAATATACTATTTTTGGTCATGCCGGAAAAGACTATCAACCTTTATTGTTTCAACATGTTATTTCAAGCATTAAATCAAATAGTTTATGAGCAAAGCCTGAGAAGACTATCAAATGTCCAAAAACATCGTTATTTATTTCTTAACGAAAATGTTCAGAAAGATTATATCTTTGCCGAAAAAAGAGTAAACATACTTGTCACCGGCACGAGAGGAATTGGAGGTACAAGAAGTAGCAAATGCAAAATGATTTCATATTATATCCATTACAGTTAAAATATTTCCAAATTTATTTTTCCTAAGAAAAAAGAAACACTTTTTTCTTTTTGAATTTACCATTTCTTTTGCACTCTGGATTAATGACCGCAATTTCAGCCACTTTGAATGTCAGTTACATATGAATATTTTTAGAATTGTGAAGAACAGTAAATCTGGAAAAATTATACCCTCTATGTAGTATGTAATGGATTTAAAATAAGAAAGTAGTTTTTTTATGAAATGTTTTATAATTGATGGGTATATATGAATATTTCCCCTAATAAAATAGTTAAATGGGTCCAGTAGCAACTTTTAGGCCCCATTTGGTATTGCATTTTCACCTCAAAAAATAAATTTTTTGACTGTTATTTCATTATTTCAGTTATCATTTTTTACTTCTTCACTCACATGTGGCTCCCACTTTTCTCTCCAACAGTCAATCAAATGTCCAAAAACATCGTTATTTATTTCTTAACGAAAATGTTCAGAAAGATTATATCTTTGCCGAAAAAAGAGTAAACATCCTTGTCACCGGCACGAGAGGAATTGGAGGTACAAGAAGTAGCAAATGCAAAATGATTTCATATTATATCCATTACAGTTAAAATATTTCCAAATTTATTTTTCTTAAGAAAAAAGAAACACTTTTTTCTTTTTGAATTTACCATTTCTTTTGCACTCTGGATTAATGACCGCAATTTCAGCCACTTTGAATGTCAGTTACATATGAATATTTTTAGAATTGTGAAGAACAGTAAATCTGGAAAAATTATACCCTCTATGTAGTATGTAATGGATTTAAAATAAGAAAGTAGTTTTTTTATGAAATGTTTTATAATTGATGGGTATATATGAATATTTCCCCTAATAAAATAGTTAAATGGGTCCAGTAGCAACTTTTAGGCCCCATTTGGTATTGCATTTTCACCTCAAAAAATAAATTTTTTGACTGTTATTTCATTATTTCAGTTATCATTTTTTACTTCTTCACTCACATGTGGCTCCCACTTTTCTCTCCAACAGTCAAAAAATCAATTCTCAAAATTACTACCAAACGAGCCCTTAGATCTCAAAATCTCCTTTTAACTCTTCAAAAATCATGCCAAACAAGTCCTTAATCCCTAAAAGCATTAAGATTCTGGTGGAATACCTACATTTCGATCATTGTACTATATACGAAAGAGAACATATTTTTAAACAGAATAAAACTTGTTTACAATTATTATGAAAGATTACTTAAAAGTTTGACTTATCAGTTAATTCGAACAAAATACTCTCGCCAGAATCACCTGAACGGCTGTTAACTTAAGCATTTGATAATCAAGCTAAACTACGATTCTCTCTTTTTTGCAAAACTGGGATATTTAAGGTAAGCGAAAAACATGATGTTTGAATGTCAGTTACATATGAATATTTTTAGAATTGTGAAGAACAGTAAATCTGGAAAAATTATACCCTCTATGTAGTATGTAGTGGATTTAAAATAAGAAAGTAGTTTTTTTATGAAATGTTTTATAATTGATGGGTATATATGAATATTTCCCCTAATAAAATAGTTGAATGGGTCCAATAGCAACTTTTAGGCCCCATTTGGTATTGCATTTTCACCTCAAAATATAAATTTTTTGACTGTTATTTCATTATTTCAGTTGTCATTTTTTACTTCTTCACTCACATGTGGCCCCCACTTTTCTCTCCAACAGTCAAAAAATCAATTCTCAAAATTACTACCAAACGAGCCCTTAGATCTCAAAATCTCCTTTTAACTCTTCAAAAATCATGCCAAACAAGTCCTTAATCCCTAAAAGCATTAAGATTCTGGTGGAATACCTACATTTCGATCATTGTACTATATACGAAAGAGAACATATTTTTAAACAGAATAAAACTTGTTTACAATTATTATGAAAGATTACTTAAAAGTTTGACTTATCAGTTAATTCGAACAAAATACTCTCGCCAGAATCACCTGAACGGCCGTTAACTTAAGCATTTGATAATCAAGCTAAACTACGATTCTCTCTTTTTTGCAAAACTGGGATATTTAAGGTAAGCGAAAAACATGATACTATGCCTTCGTCATCAATCAACTTATAATAAAAAACTAAGTATTTGTCAATTGCATTGATATGAACTTCATTAGCTTACAAAAGGCCACTGACTTCCCATGTTATTGTTGACAGACAAGTTAGTTAAAATGCATCTTGATGTTGAATACTGAACACCTTTCCCTCCCTTCCCCTTCATGGGTTGCAGAGAGCAAAATAATTATAAAAATACAGAGACTAAGGCACAGGAAGAACATACACAATAAAGAATTCCTTAACTCTCTTAACAGTTTGCAAGCACCAGATTTGTGCTCATTCTCCAATCTTTCAGATGCTACTAGCTTACAACCCAGATGACTTCCAACTCCTTCCTCAGAACTTCCAAACAGCATACTTCTCAAGGTTTATTCTGTTTTGACTTCATACAGTTTTTGGTAATGCTTATTCCATTTTTCTTACTGGGGGGAATACTCTTAATAAGAATAACTGGCGTGCTTCCTTTTGCCGATTTCCTGGATAGCCAGCAATATTACCATTATAAGAGATAGGATTCTGATAGAACATGTCATGAGAAGAGAATGACTTAGAATGTGACTTACAAGTTCGCTTCCTTCTTTTTGAGAATCTTGCCGGCCGTGTCCAGAGCCCTTTCATGACCTTCCACTGATTTATTTGTCTGATAAGATACCTACACAAACAATGTACAATTAACCTCAAATAATTTTCTTTTTTCTAGACAAATGGAATTCAACAATACAGTAAAGGTTAAAGTAGTGCAAAATATAAAAGGGTCTATTTTTTCAGTTAGGCTAAGTAAGAACCTATCCTCTGTGACACTTCAGTTTTAACCTGTGACTAGACCATGTTCATATTTAGATCACATAAGTGTGGATTGAGAAATATCTCTAGAACATCTAAAAACAAACCCGAAATAGAGTCGGGGAAAATCCTAGGCAAACTATAATTTCAGGCCACAGGAGCTGGAATTTGACAAAAAATGTTAATATAAATCTAGAACATACAATTAAAGACACCATGTAGCCAGATGTACCCAATACAGTAAAGGTTAAAGTAGTGCAAAATATAAAAGGGTCTATTTTTTCAGTTAGGCTAAGTAAGAACCTATCCTCTGTGACGCTTCAGTTTTAACCTGTGACTAGACCATGTTCATATTTAGATCACACAAGTGTGGATTGAGAAATATCTCTAGAACATCTAAAAACAAACCCGAAATAGAGTCGGGGAAAATCCTAGGCAACTCAAAAGGCAAAACACTATAATTTCAGGCCACAGGAGCTGGAATTTGAAAAAAAATGTTAATATAAATCTAGAACATACAATTAAAGACACCATGTAGCCAGATCAAAGGACACCTTGTGTCATATAGTTAAACAAAACTATGTTCAACTCTGAAACCTCAAGAGACATAGTAACCATACAAAATATTACCAATTCACAGTCCTCAGGACATTATTTTTTATGTTAAATAGAAGATTAGACAACTATTATAAGGAGATTCCATACTGCCAGTGATCAAAGAGCTTCAATGTCCTAAGTGAAGAAGTAACCATAAAATTTGTGCTCTGCACATCCAATTAAGCAATTAGACAAACTACAAACTATATACTTAGATCAATGTATCATTATCACAAACAGAAATCATTCGATACATATTATCAATGTAATTAACATTAATTAATAAAACTTACTTCATTCAACTCGAACTCACGCTCTCGTCCACTTGCTTCCTTATCTACAACCTTCTGCTTCTTCTCCCCATCCAAGAAGCTTGCGCTCTGTTTCCTCTTCTTTTTACTACCCACATTCACACTTGAGCCCTTCTTATCGCGAACCTTCCACACATTCTTCTTCCTGTACAACAATTTCTCGAATTTCCACGACTTATAGCTCGTGTCTATAACAGTCACCTCAGTCAGCGAAAATCCTGACAAATTCCCTTTACTCGTATCACCTTCCTCTTCATTTCTTCTTAATACTAAATTCTCACTCGACTCCTTCACCCCAGCCACTTGACTGTTATCATCATCACTTCTTGACTCCTTCTCGGAATGCACGTTAATATTCTCATTAATGTCATTATTCGAAGGAATATAAATTCTAGGGTTTGACTGTTTTCGACAGGGTTTCTTGATTTTTGCAAAATTACCATTATTGGAGTCTCCATAATTGAAGAGGTCGAAGAGGACATTGGTCATTACATCAAACAATTGGTTATCCTCCTTCTGGATTCGATCGAAACCCGGGTCATTTTGGGATGGATTCGGGTCAGGGTTGTGATCCGGGATTGGATCTGGTTGTTTAAGGTCCGGCGAAGTCGGGTTGTTGAGGAAATTCTCAAGGTTGGAAGCGTCGCCGGAGGGGAACCCTCTGGAGGAACGAAGCCGTTCTAGCCAGTTTGGCCCGGATTTCCCCGCCGACACGGAGCAAACCATTGCTGCGTGGAGAGAGTATAAAATGGAAGCTGTCGATTTGGAACGTTTAAGGTCGGGGTCTGTAACAAATAGTCTTCCAAGACTCTAGTACATTATTTATTTTATTATTTTATTTTTTTCTCCTTTTTCGATTGGATGGGGATTAAATCAATAATTAATGGGACATTTGGTTTGCCGTTTCCATGCAGTTCACTAATTTAGTTTTCGAAAATGCTCAAAATGTGTTCGGTCACTTGTTTTCAAAAATATATTTTCGAAAGCAAGAAAAAATTTATAACTCAAAACGATTTTTTTTTTCGTTTTGAGTGTTTTTAGTTATAAAAAAAAACTCAAAATAGACAGTTTTCTGGTTTTTATTTATTTATTTATTTATTTTTAAGGGATGCTCAGTAGTACTTTTAAAACAGTAAATTCATCAGATTTAAAATATATATTATTTGTTAATATATTAGTATAAAATTATTATGCTTTACTAAATAATCAAATTAATTGAATAAATGTAATAAAATAATTTTTAAATATTTATTATTTTATTTTGTAGCAAGAAAAAATAGGAACTTCACCAAGTTTAAAATATATATTATCTGGTAATATATATTAGCATAAAATTATTATGTTTTACTAAATAATTAAATTAATTGAATAAATATTATAAAATAATTTCTAAACATTTAATATTTAATCTTTTATTTTTGTTGCAAGAAAAATAGTAAATTTATCAAGTTTAAAATATATATTATCTGGTAATATATTAACATAAAATTATTATGTTTTACTAAATAATCATTTTAATTGAATAAGTCTCATAAAATAATTTCTAAAAAATTTAAACTAAACACATTTTTCTAGTTTGCTGTTTTTAGAAATCATTTTTCAAAATGACAAACAAAACACATTATTTCAGGACATTCTATTCAATAAATTTGATTATTCAATAAGCAATGATATTCTACAAGGTGTCGTGACCATAATATTT